TTCTGTTGCTGGGCGTGGTGGCTCACACCTGTAATCCCAGCACTTTGGGAGGCCGAGGCGGGCGGACCACTTGAGGTCAGGAGTTCGAGACCAGCCTGACCAACATGGAGAAATCCCATCTCTACTAATAATACAAAAACTAGCCGGGCATGGTGGCACATGTCTGTAATCCCAGCTACTCAGGAGGCTGAGGCACGAGAAAGGCTTGAACCCAGGAGGCAGAGGTTGCAGAGAGCCAAGATCGTGCCATTGCATTACAGCCCGGACAACAAGAGCGAAACTCTGTCTCCAGGGGAAAAAAAAAAAGTCCTTCTGTGTTTACGCCACCGCCCTGTGTACAATTGTTCAATTGTTCTGCAGTATATTTATGTTGAAACATTAGTTGCATTTTGTTTCAGGGATGCTTTTTTCCTTCCGTACTTGATTTTGCTTTACAATTATGTAAAACCTAACGTTCCAAAGTCAAAACTACCAAACAGGGTACATCCAGAAAACTCCATCTTCCCACCCTACCCTCAGCACACTTCCCCCGCCTCCTCTTTTTAGGAAACCATTTTAATTGAGTTTTGGTTTCTTTTTCCCTTGTTTGTGCTTGGAAACATAAACAAAGACTTAACTATATTCATATTTCTAACTCTTCTTGTGCCATCTGTAAAATCGCTTTTTTCAGGATTAAAAATGTAGCCTAGAGGCCAAGGGCGACGGCTCTCGCCTGTAATCCCAGCACTTTGGGAGGCCAAGGCAGGCGGATCATCTGAGGTCAGGAGTTCGAGACCAGCCTGGCCAACATGGCTAAACCCCATCCCTCCTAAAAATACAAACACTAGCCGGGGCGTTGGTGGCATTGCACCTGTAATCCCAGCTACTCAGAAAGCTGAGGCAGAAGAATCCCTTGAGCCTGGGAGGCAGAGGTTGCAGTAAGCTGAGATCATACTACTGCCCTCCAGCCTGGGTGACAGAGTGAAACTCCATCTCAAAAAAAAAAAAAAAAAAAAAAAACGTAGCCCAGAGATCGTTCCTTCTGCAGTTCTCCGTTGCATGAATAGCACTGGTTTAGTCAACCAATCCCCAACTGATGAACATTTGCATTTTCTCCTGAATTTTGCTGGAATAATAGCATGAATGGCTTTTTTGCAAGTCTCCATTAAGGATAGATTTTCAGGGGTGGGAGAGTTGGGTCCCTGGACGCAGGCGAGGATAGTCCTGTTTCCATCTTGATTTCCTCGTCTGCCTCCCCACGTGAATGTGAGCGAGCTCCCTGGATGTGCCATGCACTCTGTGTCTCTAATTCATTACAGACACGCGGATCTGGCGGAAAGAATGAGTCTCACCACGTCACTCCCCTGCTGAAACGCTGCGGTCACTGCCATCACCCACAGCGTAAAATCCAAAACCCTCTAGTGGCACAGAAGACACTAGTGATGGCCTGACCTCTCTTGTCCTCACCCCCTCCTTCCGTGCCAGCAGCCTTGAACTTGGTCCTCAGACCTCACCAAATTGCTTCCACTTCCCAGGTGTCTTCCCATCAGCACAGGCTACACTCTCAGGTTACAAAACCCCCACCCCTCCCAGGTGAACGCGTTCTCAGCCTTCAAACCCCAGGACAAGCACCTGGATTTTAAACACAGGGGTTCCCTGATGGCTTCTTTCAGTGTCTGTCCTGCTCATCAGACCTGAGCTGTAGGAGTGTGAGATTGTCCTCACCCTGTCTCTGAAACCCCAGCACTTAGTGCTATGTTGGGCTCAGAGCAGGTGCCCAGGAAAGCTTGTTGAGTTGTTGAGAAATGCTGAGTGTATGAGAAAATTACATTGTTTGCTAAGAAGAAGGACAGCGCCCCCACCCCCCCGCTTCCCCCCACCAACCCTGCAGTGGCAAACTGCTTGGGCATTCTGAAGTAGCAAGACAGCATATGTATATGATACACCGGTTAAAACAATCCTTTAAGCGCGGGTTATGTGACCTGTCCCCAGGCTCCCTTGTGGACAACGCTTTCTAGTTTGTCCGTGATCAGTGGTAAGCAGGCACCAGCTGCCCACCTAGTTTATCCTGGTTCTATGAGAAAACACAGAACACCTGTTTGCTAATAAGAATCACCTGTTCAGAGAGAATAACTACGTGGGGCAGCGTCTGCTCGAGGCCCTCGGTCCAGAATGCTGTCAGCTCCTGAGGCTCTCAGCTCGGAAGGCTGTTGGCCCCCGATAGTCCTACTTTGCTGTTCTATCTGGGTGTCCGCCTCTTAAAGCCTTCAGTGCCGCCTGGGTGGGGGGGCTCTACAGCCAAGCTGGTCTCGGTATTGAGTGAATGAAAGGTTTCCTATGATTAGAAGACTTGGGTTCAAATCTTGACTTTTTTTTTTTTTTGAGGCGGAGTCTCGCTGTGTCACCCAGGCTGGAGTGCAATGGCTGGATCTCGGCTCACTGCAACCTCTGCCTCCCAGGTTCAAGCGATTCTCCTGCCTCAGCCTCCCAAGTAGCTGGGACTATAGGCGTGCACCACCACATCCCACTAATTTTTTTTGTATTTTTAGTAGAGACGGGGTTTCACCATGTTGGCCAGGATGGTCTTGATCCCCTGACCTTGTGATCGGTGTGCCTCAGTCTCCCAAAGTGCTGGGATTACAGGCGTGAGCCACCTCACCCGGCCCAAATGCTGGCTTTTCACCTGCCACCTAGGAGATCTTGGGCAAGTTGGCATCTTGGTTTGCTTTCTGTAAACTGGGATAATGCAAGCTCACTGAGGGTGGCCTTCGGGGCTGAAGGCAGTCACGTGTGGTGAAAGTGCTTAGGATATGATCAGTAACGACGTGGAAGACCAAAGGTGACAGGAGCAGAAGGAATTCAGAAGAGCCTCAATCAGAGGTGAGGAGGAAGCTACGGCGTGGGTAAGTAAGGGGCATCGATTAAGGGAATGCATAAGTGACCAAGAAAAATAGTAGCAGCTGGGTGTGGTGGCTCACGCCCATAATCCCAGCACCCCGGAAAACCAAGGTAGGAAGATTGCATAAGCCCGGGAGGTTGAGGCTGCTGTGAAGCTAGGATCACCACTGCACTTCAGTCTGGACAACAGAGTAAGACCCTGTCTCCAAAAACAACAGTAAAAATAAAAAATAGGCCAGGCATGGTGGCTCACGCCTGTAATCCCAGCACTTTGGGAGGCCAAGGCAGACAGATCACGAGGTCAGGAGATTGAGATCATCCCGGCCAACATGGTGCAACCTTGTCTCTACTAATAAATACAAAAATTAGCTATAGGTGTGGTGGTGCGTGCCTGTAGTCCCAGCTACTCGGGAGGCTAAGGCAGGAGAATCACTTAAACCCGGGAGGTGGAGGTTGCAGTGAGCCGAGATCACACCTCTGCACTCCAGCCTGGCGACAGAGCAAGACTCCATCTCAAAAACAAAAAATAATAATGGCCACTCTTCTGGGTACTTCTCAGTGTTATTTAATGAAGCCACAGCCCTGTGAGACAGGCCACGTTGTCATCTGACATGACTCGTGGGATGCCTGAACAAGGCCCAGGGAGCAAGGCTCAGGCACCATCTGACCAAGGGGGTTTGCAGTGAGGTCCCCTCTCCTCCCTCCCTCCCGTCCTGGGAGCCCTTCTTCTTTCTCGTAGGAAGTAGAAAAGTTCCTCTTTAAAGTTTCCTTTTCTTGTTAAAGAGTAAGTGTGCTAATAACCGTTTTGTGAAGCCCTATCCTACGTAGCTGTGAGACACGCCATGCTTACAAGCACATACTACATTCTATGTCCTTGTACTTTCACCAAGATAACTGTGCTGGACGTGCTCACAGGCATGTCCCAGCTCTCCACTGTTTTTACCTGTTTAGAAAAGTTTGAAGTTGTTAACCAATCGGGTTTTAGTTTAAATTGTGAGGTCTGGCTCCAGGCAATGGAGATCAAACATAGCAGTAAGGACGACCCCAAATGCGTAAGGAAAACATAGCTGTTTTCCTTCGTTCATTGTACACTCGTGGCAAGATGGTTAGTGAGAGTACCCTTCCTGCAGTCCAGGAAGTAAAAATTGTGTTGCTGAGAGATCCTTTGTCTCAGTGCTGATTTTCTTTGTGGCACTGAGCATCTGTTCCCAACGTGTCTTTTCTCTTGCTTTTTTCTTTGACTCACAGCCACTGCTCCAAACTCCCCCACTGACCAATTCTCGATGTAAGATTCCCTTTCCAGAAGAATCTCTTTCTAGACCTGGCGTGGTGACCCATGCCTATAATCTCAGCACTTGGGAGGGCCGAGCCAGCAGGATCACCTGAAATCAGGAGTTTGAGACCAGCCTGGCCAACATGTTGAAACCTCGCCTCTATTAAAAATACAAAAATCAGCTGGGTGTGATGGTGCACACCTGTAATCCCAACTACTCAGGAGGCTGAGGCAGGAGAATTGTTGAAATCCAGGAGGCAGAGGTTGTAGTAAGCAAGATTGTACTACTGCATTTCAGCATAGACGAAAAAGTGAGACTGTCTCAAAAAAAAAAAAAAAAAAACCTCTCCTTTTTATTAATCTTAGTCTTGGAAAATCCCTTCCACCTTGATCTGTATCCCTTCAGTGTGTGTGTGAAGGGGGAGGGGAGCAGGCAGAACAAAGAAGGGATATTGGAAGGACATTTTTAGATGATGAATTTCCAAAATTATTTTATTACATCCAATGCTAAAGAAAAGTTCAGGCTGGTTTGTAATTTAGACAGGTCAACATGTATGGTTTGATGGGAGAATAGTTAGGGTTCTATTTCCTTTAAATTTCTATTCCAATCAATTTCCACTGGTGATGTCTAACTCGGATCCCTTCTCATGCATGGAAGCCATCTCACTTCCTATCCAGGATGATAGTTTCCCCTCTTTCAATCCGAAACTCAACAGCTGCCCCAGAGGGAGCCGTGTGTTCCAGACATAACATGGTTTCTTAGACAGGGCAGGGTGTGGCTGCAGAGGACAGGCACCTCCTCTAGTTAGATCTGTCTTCAAGCTAGTTAATATTGGGTCTTTCCTCTGTTCAGTGCTCTTCTTAAGTACTCAAGATCTTTCTCAATCTTATGTAGGTAAAACTGGAATTCAGAGCCTAGAGTATATTCCATAAACCGAAGAGTTAGTTGGAAATGGTTAAATCTTGTACAGTCCGCACAAAAACAGAAGGGGGATGGCCAGACACCATACCAGCATCGTATTTTGGGGAAGTCTTTTGATTCCTTAGAATACTCTCCATGTGCCCACTGCATTGGCTTTAAGTATCTTCACTGTGTTTGAACTCAGGCTTCTAAGCCGCCCGGAGCCAAGCGTGGCATGTTGAGGAGGGTTGTATTCTTGGACTTTGGTCTCTTCTGGGATGCCCAGTGCCCCTCACCTGAGGAGATATAGGTGTTTTCTAGTAAATACATTGCAAGAGGTCTGTATTTGGACATTGTCTTGTTTTTGTAACTGACCTTGGTTTCACAGGTCATTCCTTGCGGGTGGGTTAATCATATCAACCCTGCTGGGGTACAGTTCTCTATAGAACAGTGAAATACCATGAGTCATGAAGCTGGGTTGACCAGAGCCAATCGTTGCTACATAGAAATCTGGATCTGGCCAGGCGCAATGGCTCATGCCTGTAGTTGCAGCACTTTGCGAGGCTGAAGTGGATGAATTGCTTGAGCTCAGGAGTTTAAGACCAGCCTGGGCCACATGGCCAAACCCCATCTCTACCAAAAAAAATACAAAAATTAGCTGAGTGTGGTGGTGCATGCTACTCCCAGGTATTTGGGAGGCTGAGGTAGGAGGATTGCTTAAGCCTTAGAGGTCGTGGATGCAGTGAGCCAAGATAACACCACTACACTCCAGCCTGAGTAAAAGAGTGAGACCCTATCTCAAAAAAAAAAAAAAAAAAAAGGCAAAAAAGTCTGGCCAGGCACGGTGGCTCATGCCTGTAATCCCAGCATTTTGGGAGGCCAAGTGGGTAGATCACATTAGGTCAGGAGTTCAAAACCAGCCTGACCTACATGGTGAAACCCTGTCTCTACTAAAAATACAAAATTAGCAGGGCATGGTGGTGCATGCCTGCAATCCCCGCTACTCAGGAGGCTGAAGCTTGAATCCGGGAGGTGGAGGTTTCAGTGAGCCAAGATTGTGCCATTACACTCCAGCCTGGGCAACAAGGCGAAACTTCGTCTCAAAAAAAAAAAAAAAAAAAAAAAAAAAAAAAAAAAAAAAAACAGAAAAGAAAAATCCAGGCCTGAGAGAAGGTGGGCCAAGATGATGGCCAGTCCTCTATTTTATAACGAGCAAAGGGAGATCACAATTCAGGTTTCCTGAGGGTCAGGAAGCCCTCTGATGCTGTACTTGGAGTTGAAGTAATAAATCCTAAACAGCGATTCTCGGTGGACCTCCAGGCAAATCGCAGCGTGGAGTACCTCAGTCTGGGGCAGGTACCTGGAACACCTGAGCTCCCTCGTGAGGAAATGCTAGAATGACTCTCTAGTGGAAAAAGCATTTCAGATGTGGCATAGGGAAAGATACACAGTCTGTTAGTGCCTATTGAATAGCCTAAAATTACTTTAGGGATAGCAGGGGAAAGGTGGCAACATTTAGAACTAGGAGACAGGCCGCGTGGTGGCTCGTGCCTATAATTCCAACGCTTTGGGAGGCCAGGCAGTTGGATCACCTAAGGTCAGTAGTTTGAGACAAGCCTGGCCAGCATGGTTAAACCCCATCTCTATTAAAAATACAACAATTAGCTGGGCGTGGTGGAGTGTGCCTGTAGTCCCAGCACTTTGGGAGGCCAAGGCTAGCAAATCATAAGGTCAGGAGTTCAAGACCAGCCTAACATGGTGAAACCCCATCTCTACTAAAAATATAAAAATTAGGCCAGGTGTGGTGGCTCATGCCCTGTAGTCCCAGCACTTTGGAATGCCAAGATGGGTGAATCATGAGGTCAGGAGTTCAAGACCAGCTTGGCCAACATGGTGAAACCCTGTCTCTACTAAAAATACAAAAAATCAGCTGGGGGTAGTGGCGGCCACCTGTAATCCCAGCTACTCAGGAGGCTGAGGCAGGAGAATCCCTTGAACTTGGGAGGTGGAGGTTGCAGTGAGCCAGTGAGATTGTGCCACCTCACTCCCACCCGGGCGACAGAGCGAGACTTTGTCTCAAAAAATTAAAAAATTTAAAAAACTAGGAGACAGACCCGTGAGTCTAAGCTCCCTTTGTTCAGCCTGCTTGCAATTGGACCTGTTGAAAATGACATCACCTTTGGAAAAAGGGATTCTTGCTGTTAATGTCGTATACGGTATAACACAGGGAAAGATCACTACAGCTGATGGCTGTTTTTCCCCTCCGTTAGTGTTGTATTGGAGGAGTCAGTTGATACAAGAGTAAACAGTAAGTGAATCAGGAAGGAAAGATGGGGAGAAAATCACAAATAGGACTCACTGGAGTGGAAGGTGAAAATGTAAAAGTTTTAAAAGGTACTTGTAAAGATGCGGTAAGGCCAAACGAGGTGGCTTATGTCTATAATTCCAGCACTTTGGGAGGCTGAGGTGGGACGATTGCTTAAGGCCAGGAGTTTGAGACCAGCCTGAGCAACATAGTGAGATTTCATCTCTACAAAAAATACGAGAAAAAAATTAGCTGAGTGTGGTGGTGTGTGCCTGCAGTCCCCACTACCGGGGAGGCTGAGGTGGGAGGATCACTTGAGCCTGGACGGTTGAGGCTGCAGTGAACTGTGATTGTGCCACTGAGCTCCAACCTGGGCAACAGAGTGATATCTCATCTCAAAAAAAAAAAGTGGGATAATATTGAGTAAACAATACTGAGAGGAGACTGATTCCACTGTACTGAAAAATGTAAAAGCATCAGGAATGGTTAACAGAATAGGTTTTAAGGACGATGGCTTCAGGGACTGTGTACGGTTCACTACAACTTTACAGAAAGACAAAATGAAGATGAGGAGGTTGTGAAATATTTACATTCTTGCCAACACAGAAATGAGGTGAGGCAAGGACACAGCTGGAGCTCCAGCCAAGGAATTCCAGGAAGCAGTGGAGGCTGGACTGCCCGCCTGCTTCCAGCACGCTGGGGCCTGGGGCCTGCCCCCCAGGCAGATGCAGTACACTCTATGTGGTCTAGTTAACTCCACCTTGAAAGAATGTATAGGAGGCGTTGGGGGTGGGTTCATATCAAGATGTACAGGAAATAACTAAGATCAAGATGTACAGGAAATAACCTGAGTGGGGTTAACAAGGTTAACTTGGCCGGGCACGGTGGCCCACGCCTGTAATCCCAACACTTTTGGATTGAGGTGGTTGGACCACTTGAGGTCAGGAGTCCAAGACCAGCCTGGCCAACATGCCAAAACCCCATTGCTATTTAAAAAATACAAAAATTAGACAGACCTGGTGTCGAGTGTTCGTAATCCCAGCCTCTAGGGAGGCTGAGGCAGAAGAATTGCTTGAACCCAGGAGGTGGAGGTTGTAGTGAGACAAGATTGCACCCTGTACTCCAGCCTGGGCGACAGAGCTAGACTCTGGCTCAAAAAACAAAACAAAACAAAAAAAAAGTCCCTTGAACCTACACTCTTATGAGAGCTGCTGGATGTTACGGTCATCTTGCTTCTCCTACGGTCTCTAGCCAAGACTAGGTAGGTGATAAATCACGGAGTTGTCTCTCCTGATGTCTCTTGTGTTCTATTCACTGGCATCCCTGCCTGGACTGGGAAGAAGTCATCACCCTCTGCCCGAGTCCTGTGCAGCTTGGCCCATGTGGGCCTCCTGCTACTGAAATGACTCTCCTTCCCTTCCTATTGCCAGAAGAGACGGGTCCACCTAGAGGAAGGAGCAAAACAGGAGTTAATCAACTGCAGAAGGTAAACGAGTCGATCCCACTCACCCTGACTTGGGAGGTACACGAAGTTGGATTCCACTACTCTGTGGTTCAGGGGCTGGGTCCTGCGGTAATCATTCTGGATGGTCTTGTTTTGGTGATCCAGTAAGGAGTTCTCCAGCTTCCAAACCTGGGGCAATGTAAGTGCATTAGAGAGGGGAAGAGGCACTGGGTAATTTAAAAGAAGTAACGATTAGCCGGGCACGTGGCTCACGCCTGTAATCCCAACACTTTGGGAGGCCAGAGCGGGCAGATCACTTGAGCAAAGGAGTTGGAGACCAGCCTGGACAACATGGAAAGACCCCTTCTCTACTAAAAATACGAAACTTAGCTGAGCACGGTGGCATGCACTTGTAATCCCAGCTACTCGGGAGACTCAGGCAGGAGAATTGCTTGAACCCGGGAGGTAGAGGCTGCAGTGAGCCAATTTCATGTCACTGCACTCCAGCCTGGGAGACAGCGAAACTGTCTCAAAAAAAAAAAAAAAAAAAAAACAATTGGGCTAGAGCTTGGATTTATTTAACCCTGATAAAGTGACTGTAAGACGATCTCAAGTCCAGGGAGGTTCTGGGTGCCGCATGAAAGGCATTACTCCGGAACTCATCTCCCCCTGAGTTCTTCCAGCAGGTATCTGCGCACAGTCTCTTTTCAGCTTTTTATATGAGTCTTTGTCCAATAGTACAAAGGAGAGAAAGAAGTAAGCAAAAATATATCAAGTTTTTGCTTGGCAAACTCAGTTTGTTTTTTAAAAATGTCTGGTTTTTTTGTTTTTTTGTTTTTTGTTTTTTGTTTTGAGACACTCTCGCTTTGTCACCCAGGCTGGAGTGCAGTGGCGCAATCTCGGCTCGCTGCAACCTCTGCTTCCCGGGTTCAAGTGATTCTCCTGCCTCAGCCTCCCAACTGGCTGGGACTACAGGTGCCTGCCACCATGCGCAGCTAATTTTTATATTTTTAGTGGAGATGGGGTTTCGCCATGTTGGCCAGGCTGCTCTCAAACTCCTCAGGCCATCTGCCTGCCTCTGCCTCCCATAGTGCTGGGATTACAGGTGTGAGCCACTTCACCCAGCCTGAAAATGTCTGTATTTTGTCTGTATCCTTGAAAGGCACTTCTGCTGCACATACAATGCTATACTGGCTATTTATTTTTCTCAGCACTTTGGATTATGTTTCCACTCCCTTCTGACTTTCACTGTTGCTATGTTGAATCAACTCTCTGTCTAATAATACTCTTTTCGTGACAATCTGTCTTTTCTTTCTGGCTGATTTTTTAAATTGTTTCTTTGTCTTTGATGGTTTCACTGCGATGGATTTAGTGCAGGATGTTGGGTATTCACACACATGTATCTATACTCACCCAGAGAGAGACAGAGAAACTAATTGGTATTCTTGAATATGTGACTTGGTATCTCTTCCTGAAAATTGTCAGCCAGTATTTTGTCAAATCATGCCTCTTCCCTGCTCTGCCTCTCTTCTAGGATTTTGATTAGACATTTACTAGACCTTGCCACTGTACAACGTCGCTTCACTTCTTTTTATAGCTCCATCTCTTTTTCTCTTTGTGCTGCATTCTAGATAATGTTATTGGCTCTCTCCAATTTACTAATTCTCTCTCAAACTGTATCTAACATGCTGTTAAACGCATTCATTGGGTTATTTATTTATTTATTTTGGAGACAGAGTCTCACCCTGTTGCCTAGGCTGGAGTGCAATGGTGTGATCCAGGCTCACTGCAACCTCCGCCTCCCAGGTTCAAGCGATTCTCCTGCCTTGGCCTCCGGAGTAGCTGGGATTACAGGTGTGCCACTCAACATGCCCGGCTAATTTTTTGTATCTTTAGTAGAGGCAGAGTTTCACCATGTTGGCTAGGGTGGTCTTGAACGCTTAACATCATTATCTGCCCGCCTCAGACTCCCAAAGTGCTGGGATTACAGGCATGAGCCACCATTCCTGGACAATTTTTTTTTTTTTTTTTTTTTTTTTTAGACAGAGTTTTGCTCTGTCACCCAGGCTGGAGTGCAGTGGTGCAATCTCAGCTCACTGCAACCTCTACCTCCCGGGTTCAAGTGATTCTTCCACCTTAGCCACCCAAGTAACTGGGATTATAGGCACACACCACCATACCTAGCTAATTTTTTGTACTTTTAGTAGAGAAAGGGTTCCACCATGTTGGCCAGGCTGATCTCAAACTCCTGGCCTCCCAAAGTGCTGGGATTATAGGTGTCATACACTGTGACAGGCGTGGATTGTTAATTTTTGATACCATTTTTCCATTTCTAGAAATTCTATTTGGGTTTTTTCCCAAGTCTGGCTGCCCATTTTAATACTTTTTCATTCTTTTCTCATATTTAAACCTCTTTTTTTTTATACATACCAAATATTCTTATGTCATATTAATTGATAATTCCACTAACTGAAATCTTTGTAGGTCTGAATCTGCTGGTTCTCATTTATAATGTCTCTTTTTCTCATATGTTTTGTGGAGGTTTTTTTCCTTAATTGAGCTAATTTCAGGTAACTTTATTTGTGAAAATTCTTCTAGGTCTGGATTTAAGATCATTTTTCTGGAGATAATTGACCGTTTGCTTGTCAGGTGCCTGGGGACACTTCCAGCCTGATTGGCAACATTCTGGGGTGTGGGTGTCCTTGAGCAGGGGTCTGTTCCACCTTTTCTAAGAAAACAAAAAGTTTAAGAAACAGAGATGGCCAGGCGCAGTGGCTCACACCTGTAAGCCCCGCACTTTGGGAGGTGGACACAGGCAGATTGCTTGAACCTAGGAGTTCGAGACCTGCCTGGGCAACACAGTGAAACCCTACCCCTACTAAAAATAAAAACTAGCCGGGCTTGGTGGTGCATGCCTGTAATGCCAGCTCGAGAGGCTGAGGCAGGAGAATTTGCTTGAATCCGGAAGGCAGAGGTTGTAGTGAGCTGAGATTGCACCACTGTGCTTGATGACAGAGCGAGATGCCGTCTCAAAAAAAAAAAAAAAGAAGAAGAAGAAAGATGGGTGGGCAGGTGAGACACAGTAGCCCTGCATGCAAAAAATGCCATAGGATCCCCAGTGGTTGACGTTAGCTGAGATTCTGGGAACAGTCTTGTTAACCAGGTCAAAGGGCAAGACTTTGGCAAAGCGACACCATACACTACCTGCATCCTGGAGAGCTTGACGAAATCTGCCAGCACAAACCAGTGGACGTTCTCGGTGCAGGGCGGAGTGGTGAGCGAGCCCTGGTAGCTGTAGTAGTGCTGGAGGTTCTCGGGCAGCATGTCCTGAACGTCAAGGCCAGTCAGAGTTGTGCTTTGTCCTAACCAAAAAGACAGAAGGTCATAGAATGTCAGGGACCACTGCTGCCCCCCGGGAGGACAGCTCAGGCCCAGGCCTCGCCAGAGTCAGTCTCTTGAGTTCAGCAGAACACAGAAGCTGATGATCAGGAAATAATTTCCCAGTGTACTTCTCCCTGGAAGGGATTGAGAGGACAGGCTTTCGGGATAGATGCACTCAGACACCTCCTCCTGCTGAGTGGTCTCGGCCGGGTGCTCACTCCACGGCCATTTCCTCATCCGTAAAAAGGGAATAATCAGCAGAATTGCTATGAGGGAAGGGGGAATAACGTCTGGAAAGCAGCTGGCATTGAACTGGTACATAGGGAAGTATTCCCAAGTGTAACTGCCACAGTCACCATTAGCATGGCTAGGCAGAGGATACATTTTATGCTCAGTGAAAGAAAGAAATAGGCCCCTGAAGGCTTCTGGGTAAGTGCCCTCGAAGAAAGACCAAAATGCCTTGGTTTAGGCTCATTGGGCAGTAGGTGGGCAGCAGTTATCAATGCAGAATCAGGCCTGGCACAATGCCCCACACCTGTCATCCCAGCACTTTGGGAGGCTGAGGCAGGTGGATCACGAGGTCAGGAATTCGAGACCAGCCTGACCAACATGGTGAAACCTAGTCTCTACTAAAAACACAAAAATTAGCTGGGCGTGGTGGCAGGCACCTGTAATCCCAGTTACTCAGGAGGCTGAGGCAGGAGAATCGCTTGAACCTGGGAGGTGGAGGTTGCGGTGAGCCAAGATCGAGCCACTGCACTCCAGCCTGGGTTCCAGAGCGAGACTCCATCAGGAAGGGAAGGGGAGGGGAGGGGAGGGGAATAACAATTCTAATAATACCAGCTTAGCTATCTATGGATTTCTGTCCAACTGCATTCAGCTCTTTGGCTGCCGGCTCTGAGTTGGTCTGGGCTTTGCCAGGTGAGTTTGTGGAGGGGTGGAGGGGTGGAGGGTTGAAGATATAGAGGGTGTCTGCATGGGAGTGCTGAGCGACCCTTGAGAGTGTTGGCATGGGATAGCCTGTGGAATCTAAGCTGGGAGAGAGATGAAAGGACCAGGGGTCACCAGGAGCAAGACTGCGGAAGCCCCAGGGTTGGAGGACTCAGGTCAGGTCAGTTGCAGGAGGAGCTGGGTGCTGAAGTCAGAGGACTGGGTGGCTGAGGGGTGTGGCCAGAATGGGATGTGTGAGGTCCAGGATGCAGAGCTGATGTGGTTATAGCTCAAGGTCTAGTGTTGACCCTGGGCAGGAGATTGCTCCCATAAGAACGCTGCCTTCTGGAGGCAGAGGGGGTGGAAGATCACCCCGAATGTCTGTATGTCCAAGTATGATGACAAGCGGCTTCGCTCTTGACATTCATCTCAGCTTGGAACCAGGGTGAACATCTCTCTAGCGGCCAGGACTGTCACTGCCAGCTGGGATAAGAGTCAATGAAGTGAGGCTATCCCTACTTAGTGGAACTCCTGCCAGAAGTTCCAGTCATGAGAATTGACATGTAGAATTTATGAGCAGGTTTCTCAGAGAAGTTTGCTGCCTAAGCCAACAGCAGAAATCACTGGAACAAGTGACCTTGCACAGGGAGGGGTGGACCCCTCAGCAGGCCCACTGGCCACCCTCCCCGCCAGCACCAATCCCCTGCCCCCTGGGCCCACCCCACACTCACACTCTTGCTCACTCCCATCCCTCCTGCAGCCGCAGTTGGCTTCCCTTACCTGGGTACTTGATGTTGGCCAGATGAGAAATGAAGTTGCTGTAGTAAGTATTTTCAGGGTAATCCTTCACCTGCAGCGAAACGCAAAGCACTGAGCATGAGTGAAGAAGAGGCCCCAGCCCACCATCTCTACCAATCCAGCCCGTCAGCTTTCTAGCTGATTGGGCAGAGCCTAGAGAGTAAGGAGAGGCAGCCTGTGCCCCTGCTGTGTTTTGACGGAGACAATCTGAGTGTTCTTTGCTACCAACTGCACAGGTTCATGCGTCTTTCCAGAAAGGCACTATCTAAACTATTTTGGCAGCTTCCAGGGAAAGAAGCTTCTCGGTCATTGGTGATGCTCTCAGAAATGGCCAAAAGTTACTCTTTAAAAAATGTCCTCTGTGTACTTGTTTTCTTTGTTGTTGGTTTTTATTTGTTTTGTTTTTGTTTTTGTTTTTTTTGAGACAGAGTCTTGCTCTATTGCCCAAGCTGGAGTGCAATGGCACGATCTTGGCTTACTGCAACCTCTGCCTCCTGGGATCAAGCGATTCTCCTGCCTCAGCCTCCTGAGTAGGTGGGATTACGGGCACCTACCACCATGCCCAGCTAAATTTTTTTGTATTTTTTTGTATTTTTAATAGAAATGGGGTTTCACTATGTTGGCCAGGCTGGTCTTGAACTCCTGACCTCGTGATCCACCGACCTCGGCCTCCGAAAGTGCTGGGATTACAGGTGTGAGCCACTGTGCCCGGCCGGTGTGCTTGTTTTGGGCATTGTCAGCCACAGTCAGATTCTTTGTGATGAGGAGGGCTTCATCTCATGAGCTCCCTTCTTCATCCTCAGGACTTCCGACAGAGAGCCGGAAGTCCGGGGCAAACCAGCTGCGGTTCCCTTAACACTAGATCACTCTTTTCTGTGAGTATTGACTTTAAAGGTCAGAAAAGTTGCTTTGGGTGAAAAAAGTCTATTTTGAATGGCTATTTTCAGTCAAGCGGTGCTGATTCAAGTCTTTCACTGTGTATAAATGTGGCTTTCTTGGCTTTATGACTGTATTTGCTATTTGTTTTCCGGATGTCTCGTGCCATTTTTGTTCCATTGGTCCACCTTTGCTGCCTTCTTTTGTGTTGAGCAAATATTTCTCATGTACCATTTAATCATTTTAATTATTCTTAGTAGTTGCTCGAGTGATTCCCATATACAATTCAATCACAATCTTGGTCAGGTTCATATTTTTAATTTCAGTAAAAGCAACTTTGCTTCAAAAAAGCTCTGTTTCTTCCTCATCCTTTCTCCTATTTTGCCCTCAGGTCCAGCACCACGGCCCTGAGCTCCCCATGTGCTGCCTCATCGCACTCCTGCACCAAGGCCCGGTAATCCATCACATGAGTCGCCTTGGAGGCCTTGGCCACAGCATTCCCACGTTCTGAGAAGTACTTGGAAATGGTTGTCTGGAAAGCTTCCACTTTGGTCTTGACACCATTCACCCTCTTTAGCACCTTCTCCTGGATTGCTACCCCAAAATCATTTCTATCTTCCATCTTGGGGATCAGGTGCTGGATCCATGTGGTCACCAGAATGCATTTCTCTTTGAGAGTCCAGACTTCTGGCTGAACCAGGGCAAGCAGGGACAGGACTTTCTCATTCCCAGGGAGAAATCCACACGTAGGGACTTCTTTCTTCTCCTGCTTATCTGTTTCCATCTCGTTATCCTTGGGTGGAGGATCTGGGATGGGGATGTCCAGTGGGGCCTGGAGGGAAGTCAGGTCAGCCACACTGAGGGAGTCCTCTTGAAGAGCTGATTCAGGGATATGATTTTCTGTGGCAAGAATCTGTAGAGGAATTCCTCAGCCTCCTGGAAAAGATTCTGCCTGAAGACCTCCACCTGTTTGCGGGCCTCCCTGCTCAGGCACTCCCCACAAGGCTTGGCCATGCTGCTTCAGGTTGCTAGATCTCTGGTCTCTGTTCCTTTTTCTTCTGTCTTTATTCTCTGTTTTTCAGATTGGATCATTTCATTGCTCTATCTTCAAATGCACTGATTCTTTTTTTCTTCTGCTGCCTCACGTCTGCTTTGGGCTCATCTAATGATTTTTCACTTTGTTTATTGTACTTTTCAACTCTAGAGTTTCCATTTGGTGCATCTTTGAAACCCCCTTTTTAGAGTCATTGTCATCATATTTTCCTTCAATTCTTTGAACATAGCTTCTTTCCATTCTTCAAACATTTATGATAGTTGTTTTATTTTTATTATTTTTCTCCCAGCCACAGCGTAACAGTTATTTTAAAGTCGTGTCTACCTAATCACTCTGGGTCCACTCAGGTCAGTTTCTATTGATTGTTTTGAGGGTTTTTTTCCCCTCATTAAGTATGGATTACATTTTCCTATTTCTTTGTATGCTCAACTTTTTTTTTTTTTTTTTTTTTTTGAGATGAAGTCTCATTCTGTCACCCAGGCTGGAGTGTAGTGGCGTTATGTTGGCTCACTGCAGCCTCTGCCTCCTGGGTTCAAGTGATTCTCCTGCCTCAGCCTCCCGAGTAGCTGGGACTATAGGCACATGCCTGGCTAATTTTTTATATTTTTAGTGGGGATGGGGTTTCACCATGCTGGCCAATCTGGTCTCAGACTCTTGACCTCAGGTGTTCACCTGCTTCAGCCTCCCAAAGTGCTGGGATTAAGGTGTGAGCCACCGTGCCCAGCCTGCATGCCCAACTTTTATTGCTGCAAACCGGATGTTTTAGATAATATATAGCAGGAAGGCCTGATTCTGATTTTTGTCATTGTCCTCCAGCATTCTGTGTGTGTGTTTATTTAGTAACTTGTCTGGATTTGGTCTGCAGGCTCTGTCTCCCAAGCAGTATGCAGCAGCTGATGTCTGTGCTCAGTTTTTAAATCTTATTTGTATTCTTTGGGGCTGAATTCCTAGGCGTTACCTATGGTCAACATAGCGTCATGGTCAGTAAAATGATTTGAGCGAAGTTGTGCTCAAACCCCGTGAGCCCCTAGGACTCCACCTGATGGACCTGTGTGTAGGTTTCAAAGCACATTCAAAGTTCAGCTAGTTCTCATGTTGGCTTCAGCTTTGCCTTTTTATCAGACTCCATTAGGGTGTTTATGTAGCCCTTCTGTCTCTCTCTCCTTTCCAGGATCTTCCCCATTAAATTTCTGACTTGTTTCTCACTCACCATTCACTGTAACTGGGACTGCAGCCTCAGACTCTCAGAGCTGCAAGTTTTTCCTGTTTGCTCTCTGTGTTTTCTGTCAAGCTTACCACTTTTACTGACATCATTCCTGAGCATGGTTTTCAACTTCCACCCCAAATCAAGTCAGCTCCGCTGCCCAGGCAGTGAAGCTGCTGGTTTTCCTGACCAGCTTTGCCTGATAAAACTAACTTGCTGACCAAGTTAGGGGGTGCGGATGGGAACATCCCCAGGAAAGACGTCTACAGATATTCATTACTCTTACCCAATTCTAACCATTTTCCATGAATAGATGTCTCAATTTGCTGTTTGCCCAGGATCCATTTCCAGAGCATTGAAATGGTGGGGTTTTTTTTACAATTTTATCTAATTTAATACTTATTTCAGGGGGACTGGATTCCTGCCTATTCTAGTTACTTAGCCTGAAGTCCCACCTTCTAGACTTTTTTTTTTTTTGAGACAATGCTTCGCTCTTGTTGCCCAGACTAGAGTGCAATGGCACGATCTCAGCTCACTGCAACCCCGTCTCCTGGGTTCAAGCAGTTCTCCTGCCTCAGCCTCCCGAGTAGCTGGGATTACAGGCATGTGCGCCACTACTCTCTGCTAGTTTTGTATTTTTAGTAGAGACAGGATTCTCCATGTTGATCAGGCTGGTCTCAAACTCCTGATCTCAGGTGATTTGCCTACCTCGGCCTCCCAAAGTGCTGGGATTACAGGCATGAACCACCATGCCTAGCCATTTTTTTTTTCTTTCTTTTTGAGCTGGAGTCCAGCTTTATTGCCCAGGCTGGAGTGCAGTGGCAGGATCTCAGCTCACTGCAGCCTCCACCTCCCAGGTTCAAGTGATTCTTCTGCCTCAGCCTCCCAAGTAGCTAGAATTACAGGCTCCTGCCACCATGCCCAGCTAATTTTTCTATTTTTAGAAGAGATGGGATTTTGTCATGTTGGTCAGGCTAGTCTCGAACTCCTGACCAGAAACACAGAGGTGTTAGCTGGGCGTGGTGGCTCAGGCCTGTAATCCCAGCACTTTGGGAGGCTGAGGTGGGTGGATCACCTGAGGTCAGGAGTTCTCAACCAGCCTGGCCAACATAGTGAAACCCTGTCTGTACTAAAAATACAAAAATTAGCCAGATGTAGTGGCAGGTGCCTGTAATCCCAGCTACTTGGGAGGCTGAGGCAGGAGAATCATTTGAACCCAGAACGCGGAGGTTGCAGCGAGCCAAGACTGCACCATTGCACTCCAGTCTCGGCAACGAGTGAAATTCCATCTCAAAAAAAATAAAAGAAATGCAGAGGTGTTGCCTTTGTCTGATTGGGTTGGAGGCTTCCCCTTGCCCTTCAGACACTCCGTGTCTAGTCAAACCCCTCCATGATTCCAGCTCTTTTAAGTCAGCTTGCCCAAGTTAACCAGGGTCTGGAGATTGATGACAGAGGGAGCACAGTGACCGTGACCGTGAGCAGGAGCTGGAAGAAGAGGGTCGATCTTCATCCAGTCAATGTCTCCAAGAACTGTGAGCTCGGGAGAGGACGAAGAGTGATAATAAAGACTGTTCAACCAGACTTCACACCTTGTTTGGACATCCACCGATAACTTCAGATGCAGACACACGTGGGTGGTTTCTGCTTACCTCAATGAAGGCTGCCAGTACAGCCAAGCCGTCCTGCGCGTCTTGGGCTGTCTCATAGCTCTGGTATTTGGAATTGTAGTGAACAACGTGAATCTGTAAGAGCAAGGTAGGGTGGGTCAAGGGCAGTTCACAGCAATTCAGATGCTTAAGGTTTCCAGGGAAGAAGGAGGAGAAAGAAAGGGGCTCCATCTGAGACCTCAGACCGTTCCACACCAGCAACTTGGACCTCCATCTCCCTCTGGGCTGCAAATCCCATCTATCACGACTAGAAACTTTCCCAAGAATGGAAAGAACAACAGTGGGATTCTGGAAGACGGCAGTTCCAGGGTGTTCCCCTGACCACACCTCCCTCCAGGCAGACGAGCTGGCAGAGCTGGGGTTCTCCTGAGGTGTCTGGCGGTTTGCCGGGAGGATGAGCTTATGCCTCCTTGTCCCAGACAGCCACTGTTAAATTGTAGTCATCTTAAAGACGAATTCTGGCCAAAGAGGGAACTCAGAAAAATCTAACACCGGCCAGGTGCAGTGGCTGATGCCTGTAATCCAGCACTTTGGGAGGCCCAGGTGGGCGGATCACTTGAGGTCAGGGGTTTGAGAGTGAGATCAGCCTGGCCAACGTGGTGAAACCCCATCTCTACTAAACAATTAACTGGGCGTGGTGGCAGGTGCCTGTAATCCCAGCTTCTCTGGTGGCTGAGGCAGGAGACTCACTTGAACCCAGGGGACAGAGGTTGCAGTGAGCCAAGATCACGCCACTGCACTCCAGCCTGGGCGAAAGGGTGAAACCGTGTCTCAAAAAAAAAGAAAAGGAAAGAAAATCTAGCACATAGAAATCCAGCTGAAACAAAGGAGTGTTCGCCACACCCTGTGGGCTGTTGTCCTGCAGCCTGAGCTTGCCTGTACCCCGGTCACAGAGCAGTGACCAGTCAAGAGCTGTAGAGTAAATAAAAAATAAAACTTCAGGATGATTTAACTGCTACCATTGCACAGTCTTTGGCTGTTTTTGTTTGTTTTATCCCTCAGATTGGAGTGCAGCAGCATAATCGGGACTCACTGCAGCCTCAACCTCCTGGCCTCAAGCGATCCTCCCCCCTCAGCCTCCTCAGGAGCTGGAACTATACGCATGTGCCACCACTCCAGGATAATTTATTATTATTATTACTTTTTGTAGACACAGGATCTCACTATGTTGCAAACTCCAGGACTCAAGCAATTCCCCTGGCTTGACCTCCCAAAGTGCCAGAATTATAGGCATGAGCCAGCTCACCCGGCCTTGGCTGTTTTAATAAGAAAAGTGACAGCCGGGCACTGTGACTCACGCCTATAATCCTTTAGGAGGCTGAGGCGGGTGGATCACCTGAGGTCAGGAATTCGAGATTAGCCTGGCCAACATAGTGAAACCCCATCCAGCCAATGTTTTGTAAAAACACAAAACTTATCAGGCATGCTGGCATGTGCCTGTAATCCCAGTTACTTGGGAGGCTGAGGCAAGAGAATCACTTGCACCCAGGAGGCAGACGTTGCAGTGAGCTGAGATTGCGCCACTGCACTCCAGCCTGGGTGACGGAGTGAGAAGAGAATCTGTCAATGAATAAGTGACTATGGGGTTTGAAGGAAAGAGAACGCAGTGGGGGTCCTCACGTACCTCAATCACGTGTCTGATCCCGTCCACAGTGTGCTCAGAGCCGCTGATGTCCGAGGATGCTCCACCCCAGTGAAAGTGCATCTGCTGGGCTATGTACACGGTGCCATTGGCGTCTGTTATGCGCATGGTGTCGGGCAGGCTGATCTGCACTGGAGAGACGGGGTGGGGATGAGGGGCGCGGGTGAGCACAGAGGGGTCAGGCCTGCAGGCCAGGGAGCTTCTCTGCTTTTCTGCTCAAATGCACCATTCAGTGAACATTTTGAATCTGCTCTGTCAGGATCTGTGGCAGGTACTGTGATGAAAAGATGAATAAGTGATTGTCCCTATATTCAAGGAACTTCATAAAGTAGCCAATAGCATGTATTAAGAAAACAGTATGTTTCGGAAGTGTCTTCCATTAAGTGTCTTCCATAGTAGTGTCTTCTATTAAGAAGACACAAAACACTAGAGGTCCAGTACCTCAGGCATTTAAGCTTTTCTGGAGCCTATAAAATGTATTTTGGAAATTTTTAAATATGTATTTTATTGAGATAGGGTCTTACTCTGTCACCCAGGCTGGAGTGCAGTGGCACGGCCTTGGCTCACTGCAGCCTCAACCTCCCAGGCTCAAACAATCCTCCCACCTCAGCCCCTCAAGTAGCTGGGACTACAGACACACGCCACCATGATGAGCTAGTATTTAAGTTTATTTACAGAGATGGAGTTTCGCCATGTTGCCCGGGCTAGTCTCAAACTCCTGGGCTCAAGCCATCCACCTGCCTTGACCTCTCAAAGTGCTGGGATTGTAGGTGTGAGCCACCGCACCTGGACAATATATATTAATGGATCTACCGGCCCACCAACTGTTACTAGTCTGCAGCAAAACAGAGACCTGGGAGTTCATTTTGGAAATTTTGTAGCAATTTGTCTTTGTCTCAGCAGCCTGTGTTTCAATTTGAATTCCTCTTTATTGAAATGTTGAACCCGGCATGCCTGTAATCCCAGCACTTTGGGAGGCCGAGGCAGGCGGATCACCTGAGGTCAGGAGTTCAAGACCAGTCTGACCAACATGGAGAAATCCCATCTCTACTGAAAAAACAAAATTAGCCGGACATGGTAGTGCATGTCTGTGATCCCATCTGCTCAGGGGGCTGAGGCAGGAGAATTGCTTGAACCTGGGAGGCAGAGGTTGTGGTGACTGGAGATCATGCCATTGCACTCCAGCCTGGGTGACAAGAGTGAAACTCTGGCTCCCCAAAAAACAAAATCTTGAATCTAATTTAAATTTAATTTAAAAATGAGGAGCCTGGGCCTGGTGGCTCACACCTGTAATCTGAGCACTTTGGGAAGCCAAGGGAGGCAGATCACCTGAGGTCATGGGTTCAAGACCAGCCTAGCCAACATGGGGAAACTTCATCTCTACTAAAAATACAAAAATTGTCCAAAAATATGGACAAAAAAATTTTATAAGGAGAATCATAAAACTGATGAAATAAATGAAGAACTACGTAAGTGGGAAAATATTCCATGTTTACAGATAGGAAGACTTAATACTGTCCCAATGTCAATTCTTTCCAACTTGGTCTATATGTTACCAAAAAGGGGTCCCAATCCAGACCCCAAGAGAGGGTTCTTGGATCTCACACGAGAAAGAAAAAATTTGGAGTCAGTCCATAGAATAAAGCGAAAACAAGTTTATTAAGAAAGTAAAGGAATAGACCAGGTGCAATGCCTCATGCCTGTAATCCCAGCACTTTGGGAGGCCAAGGCAGACAGATCACTTGAGGTCAGGAGTTCGAGACCATCCTGGCCCATATGGCAAAACTCTGTCTCTACTAAAATTACAAAAAATTAATGGGACATGATGGTATGCACCTGTAATCCCAGCTACTTAGGAAGCTGAGGCACAAGAATCATTTGAACCCAGGAGGCAGAGGCTGCAGTTAGCCAAGACCACACCACTGCACTCCAGCCTCAGAGCAAGATTCTGTCTCCAAAAAAAAGGAAGTAATAGAATAAAGAATGGCTGCTTCATAAGGAGAGCAGCCCCAAGGGCCACTGGTTGCCCAATTTTATGGTTATGTCTTGATGATATGCTAAATGAGGAATGGATTATTCATGCCACCCCTTTTTAGACCACATAGGGTAATTTCCTGATGTTGCCATGTCATCTATAAACTGTCGTGGCATTAGTGGGAGTGTAGCAGGGAAGACGACCAGAGGTCACTCTTGTGGCCATCTTGATTTTGGTAGGATTTGGCCGGCTTCTTTATTGCAACCTGTTTTATAAGCGAGGTCTTATGACCTGTGTCTTGTGCTGAACTCCTGTCTCATCCTGTGACTTACAATGCCTTAACCTCCTGGGAATTCAGTCCAGTAGGTCTCAGCCTTATTTTATCCAGCCCCTAGTCAAGATGGGGTCATTCTTGTTCAAATGCCTCTGACGTTACTATACAATCACGCATGCTCTTGGTATTTACCCACATGGGTTGACACACAGAAACATGCACATGGATTTTTTTTTTTTTTTTTTTTTTTTTTTTTTTTTTTTTTTTGAGACAGAGTCTCGCTCTTTTGCCCAGGCTGGAGGGCAGGAGTGCAGTGGTGCAATCATAGCTCACTGCAGCCTTGACCTCATGAGCCTTGCATCTCAACCTGTAGATGCAAGGACTATATGTTTGAAGCTAGGACTATATGTTTGAGCCGCCATGCCCAGCTAATTTTTCGATTACTTTCGTAGGTCTCACTACATTTCCCAGGCTGGTCTCGAATTCCTTGGCCCAAGTGATCCTCCCGCCTTGGCCTCCCAAAGTACTGGGATTACAGGCATGAGCCACCACACCTGGCCTGCACACAGGTTTTCTGACAGCTTTATTCGTAACTGCCAAAACTGAGAAGCAACTCAGATGTCTTTGGATAGGTGACTGGATAAACTGTAATTCATCCAGACAATAGAATATTATTCAGCACTAAAGAGAAATGAGCTATCAAGCCATGAAAAGACATGGAGGAACGTTAAATGCACATTACAAAGTGAAAGAAACCAAGGTGAAAAGGTTACATGCTCCGATTCCAACTGTATGACATTTTAGAAAAGGAAAAACTATGGGTCAAATAACAAGATCAATGATTGCCAGGGTTCAGGAAGGAAGGAAGAGATGAACAGATGGAACACAGGATTTCCATGACGCTGAAAGGATTGCTCAATGCATGTGATTAGAAACCTGTCAAAACCTGGCTGAGCATGGTGGCTCATGCCTGTAATCCCAGCACTTTGGGAGGCCAAGGTGGGCGGGTCACTTGAAGTCAGGAGTTCAAGACCAGCCTGGCCAACATGGAGAAACCCTGACTCTACTAAAAGTACAAAATTAGCTGGGCATGGTGGCAGACACCAATAATGCCTGTAATCCCAGCTACTCAGGAGGCTGAGACAGGACAATTTCCAGAACCCAGGAGGTGGAGGTTGCAGTGAGCCAAGATCGCACCACTGCACTCCAGCCTGGGCGACAGAGCAAGACTCCGTCTCAAAAAAAAGAACCCTGCAAAACCAAAAATTAACAAGTCTTTAATACATCATGTCAACTTTATTGTTAAGCTTACTGTTCATCAAAATCTCCTTAGATTCAAAGTTTGCAGATTAGTTTTCTTTTCCCTTCAGTAGAATTCCTGAATATGCTTGGAGCTTGCTGAAATATAGGCAGTGGCAATAGCCATATAACTTCAAAAGCAAATTATAAAAAAATTTCAAATACTTTACCTTAGGCTGGGTGCAGTGGCTCATACCTGTAATCTCAGCAATGTGGGAGGCCAAGGCTGGTGGATCATTTGAGGCCAAGAGTTCAAGACCAGCCTGGCCAACATGCTGAAACCTCAAATGTACAAAAAAAATACAAAAATTAGCTGGGGGTTGTGGCACATGCCTGTACTCCCAGCTACTCACAAGGCTGAGGCATGAGAATTGCTTGACCCCAGGAGGCAGAGGTTGCAGTGAGCCAAGATTGCACCACTCCACTCCAGCCTGGGTGACAGAGCAAGACTCTTGTCTCCAAAAAAAAAAACCTTACACCAAAAAATAGAACCATGGCCAGCCGCAGGGGCTCATGTCTATAATCCTGGCACTTTGGGAGGCCAAGGTGGGTGGATCACTTGAATCAAGGAGTTCAAGACTAGCCTGGCCAATATGACAAAACCCCGTCTCTACTAAAATTACAAAAATTAGCCGGCGTGGTGGCACAGGCCTGTAGTCCCAGCTACCAGGGAGGCAGAGGCAGGAGAATTGCTTGAATCTGGGAGGTAGAGGTTGCAGTAAGCCAATAACTGCACTCCATCCTGGGTGACAGAGCAAGACTGTGTTTCAAAAAAAAAATTTTTTTTTGGCTGGGTGCAGTGGCTCATGCCTATAATCCCAGTACTTTGGGAGGCTGAGGTGGGTGGATCACCTGAGGTTGGGAGTTTGAGACCAGCCTGACCAACATTGAGAAACACTGTCTCTACTAAAAATATAAAATTAGCCAGGCGTGGTGGCACATGCCTGTAATTTCAGCTACCCAGGAGGCTGAGGCAGGAGAATTGCTTGAACCCGGGAGGCAGAGAGGTTGCAGTGAGCCGAGATCATGCCCTTGCACTCCAGCCTGGTGACAGAGCAAGACTCCGTCTCAAAAAAATAAAAGTAAAATAAAAAATCAAATAATTTTTAAAATTTTAATATACATATAATTAATGTGAACTGTGGGTGCACTCTAATGTCCAGCATTCTGTCATGTGAGGTGAGAACCCCAAAGGAACAGGCTTCTGGACCACAGAGATTTGAGCACAGCCCTAAAAGAAGGAGGTAGAGGGTCCTCTGGAAATTGGGAGGAGGGAGCCGCTGCAAGCCCCGTGGGAAGCTGGGCTCTTCTCTTCCTTACTCATTCCGTCTTCTGAGCCCTCAGCTCACTGTCCAGGGAGGGTGAACAAAGCCACTGAGTCTGGCCTTTGTGCTTCACCCCTTCTCCACAAGCAGACGACAAGGAGGGGAGGAAGATTTCACCTGCCAATCTGGAAGCTTCAGAGAGTAATTTTGGAAACAGGAGCTTGACATTATGATGAAAATGAGGCTTTTGTTCATTCTTTGTGTATTTCAGGGCTCCTGGCCACATAAACCTGAGCCCTTCGACAGACAGAGCTTCATTCTCCCATTTGCTACTTTCACCAGCCCCATAAAGGACAATCGGTTTTCTTTTTTTTGAGAATGGAGTTGTGCTCTTCTTTTTTTTTTATTTTTTTTTATTTTTTTGAGACGGAGTTTCACTCTTGTTACCCAGGCTGGAGTGCAATGGCGCGATCTCCACTCACCACAACCTCCGCCTCCTGGGCTCAGGCAATTCTCCTGCCTCAGCCTCCTGAGTAGCTGGGATTACAGGCACACGCCATCACGCCCAGTTGATTTTTTTGTATTTTTAGTAGAAACGGGGTTTCACCATGTTGACCAGGATGGTCTCGATCTCTTGACCTCATGATCCACCCGCCTCGGCCTCCCAAAGTGCTGGGATTACAGGTTTGAGCCACCGCGCCTGGCCGGGAGCGCTCTTCTTTTTTTGAAGTGCAAGGTCTCACATTTTTATTACTGAACCCAGGCAACCAAAACCTTTTTTTTTTTTTTTTAACATGAATAATGGAAGCACTGTGAGTTGTACTAACTAATGCCTTCATAACCAATCCAGAGAGGACACTGTCCAGCCTTCTCCAGATAGCGGCGACATTTTTCAGCTTGATTTGGTAACACGATTGTGACCTTCAGGCAGCGTAAGTGTGCCAGACCCAGCTTGGTTCTTTTCCAATGTCTCCTTTTGGAGATGTACCTGATTTTATTACCAGTTTTCATCCGAATCCACTGGGGAATGGGACGATTTTGCTTTTGTTTCTTGGCCAGGAATCGTTTAATCCTGAAAGTCTTGTGAGAAGACACGGTGAGAAACGGAGTCTGGCGTTGCGCTCTTCTTGCCCAGGCTGGAGCTCGATGGCATGATCTAGGCTCACTGCAACCTCTGTCTCCTGGGTTCAAGTGATTCTCCTGTCTCAGCCTCCCAAGTAGCTGGGCCACCATGCCTGACTCATTTGACTAATTTTTGTATTTTTAGTAGAGATGGGGTTTCACCACATTGGCCAGGCTAATCTCGAACTTCTGACCTCAGGTAATCCACCCGCCTCGGCCTCCCAAAGTGCTGGGATTACAGGTATGAGCCACTGCACCCTACCGGTTTTATTTTCTTGATTGTGGAAGATAAGAAAACTATGTCCTGTCACCCACTATCTTTTTTTTTTTTTTTTTTTTTTTATTTGAAGAAAAAGGATCTCACTCTGTTGCCCAGGGTGGAGTGCAATGACGATCTTGGCTCACCACAACCTTGACCTCCCAGGCTCAAGTGATCCTCCCACCTCAGCCTCCTAAAGTACTGGGTTTACAGGCATGAGCTACCATGCCTGGCCAAGTCCAGTGACTGTCATATCCCTGTGTGACAGGCAGGGAACTGTCTCAACCCAGCCAGGAGAGAGTCGGGTGCCTTAAAAGGAAAGAATACCGACATCTGGGGGCGTGAGCCCATCTTGGCCTTTAGACACTGTGTGACCCAGGCTGAGTCCCTCAACCTCCTGAGGCCTCAGACTTCCTGCCTAAAAAATGCCCCCTCTGGGGTTGCCATGAAACTCAAACGAGTCGAACCACGTTGGAAAATCAGGAGAAAGCTCTGCAAACGTAAAGCACGGTTTCCAGGCTGGGCGCGGTGGCTCATGCGGTAATCCCGGCACTGTGGGAGGCTGAGGCAGGAAGATTACTTGAGATTAGAAGTCCCAGACCAGTTTCAATAGTGAAACCCTCATTTCTACTCAAAATATGAAAAAATTATCTGGGCATGGTGGTGCATGCCTGTAATCCCAGCTACTTGGGAGGCTGAAGCAGGAGAATCCCTTGAACCTGGGAGGCGGAGGCTACAGTGAGCTGAGATCACGCCACTGCACTCCAGCCTGGGTGACAGAGTAAGACTCTGTCTCAAAAAAAAAAAACAAAAAAACAAAAAAAAATTCAGTTTCTCATATTGGATTCCTGAAGGGGGCATCCCCATGGCCCTGTTTTTTCTGCCTGACCCTTCACCTTCTTTCTTGTAGAGAGCAGAAAACCGGAGCTTTCTTCTTGAACTTCTGAGAAACCCTGGTCCTGCCTGTCAGGTGCTTTGAGCTAAATAGACTCAATATAGGAAAGGTGGGCAAGCTGACCCAAGCTGATGCACAGAGAGCCTGGGTGAGAAGGGTGGCTTCAGCAGCACAACCTGTCCCGCCTGTCACCTGCTGGGCAGGTCAGGTGAGCTGGGAGAAGAGAAGAATGAGGCAGGAAGGGGCCAGCAGGGACAGGGAGCTGAGCGGAGGACAGATATGCTGCCCTCCCTGCAAGAGCCACGTGGTTTCCGGGCCCGTCAGCCCTCATGTGCAACCCTCCCGTTGGAGGCCCCCAGCTCTGAGGCCGTGCTCTGGGTCTCTGTGCAAGCCACTCCTGGCAGGGGTGGGTGTCACCTGCCTTCCCCCGCAGGCTGCCAGGGACAGCTTGTGGACTGGAGCCCCTCCCCTCTTGCCCTTACCTGTGTGGCCATTGTTGACCATGGGGAACTCGCCCACCTGTGACTCGTAGCCTGTCAGGTTGAGCCCCTTCAGGGCCGGGTTGTACCGCACCTTCGTCCTCTGTAGGTCAATGGGTGACTGTCTCCGGCCCCCGCAGTGGGGGTAGTGCTTCGGCCAGTGCGCCTCATCCAGTGCTCCTTCTGAGACAGGAGAGAGACAGTTTCAGGGGCTGGCCAAGCTCGCTCTGCAGGAACCTCACCACACCAGAGGCCGGGGGGCCTGCTGGACAGGGGCCCACGGGACACCTTCTAGAAAGTAGAAGCGGGGTCCCCAGAAGGAGGCCAAAAACACTACTTCAGCTCCAAGGACTCTGGAGTTTGGGGGGCTTTGGTGCTAACCTCTAACTTTCCTGTGGCAACCACTGGCCCTGGGAACAAGACTCATTGTTTTGAAGTCAATGAAAGTCTTTTTTTTTTTTTTTTTTTTTTTTTTTTTTTTTGAGACAGGGTCTCGCTCTGTCACCCAAGCTGGTGAGCAGTGGCTTGATCTCAGCTCACTGCAACCTCCACCTCCCGGGTTCAAGCAATTCTCCTGCCTCAGGCTCCCAAGTAGCTGAGACTTACAGGCACATGCCACCACACCTGGCTAACTTTTATGTTTTTATTAGAGACGTGTTTTTATTTCCCCATGTTGCCCAGGCTGGTCTTGAACTCCTGACCTCACTCACTCCCAGAGTGCTGGGATTACAGGTGCGAGCCACCGTGCCCAAGCTGAGAGAGTTTTAGACATCACTTTTTGCTCTCCTTTGACTTCTTTCCAGCTGACTGAGACACGGAGGGGTCCGTGGCTTGCTGTTCCTGTGCCGCTCCAGGGACTCTTCCTCATCTCCTCTCAATGGCCCTGTTGTCTTCCATGCCCCCAACAGGAACACAGGCCCACCTCCCCATGCTGCAGGACCCTCCGCCACCATTTTCTTGCTCCAGACCCTTTTATACGTTCCCAGGATGGCAAAGACCACTTTGGTGTCTGCACTTATGGATTCAGGGAAACTAAGAAAGCATCAGGCTTCAGGACAACCTAGCATGAGTACTTTTTAAAAACTTCATAGGGAGAAAGTTTATCTTTTCAGGGAGGGTTGATAATCGTAGGGGACAGAGTATTAAAGGTGAGTCATTATCATAGGTGACCGGGCCCCCAAACAGCCGTGAAGCTTGGCGTCAGCTGCATGACATGGAGAATCCAGCCGCGGTTCCGGGGGTAGGTATGTGGTGAGTACACAGCTTTTTGTTTGTTTGGTTGGTTTTTTGGTTTTTGTTTTCTGAGACCGAGTCTCGCCCTGTCCCCAAGGCTGGAGTGCAATGGCACGATCTTGGCTCACTGCAACCTCTGCCTCCCGGGTTCAAGTGATGCTCCTGCCTCAGCCTCCAGGGAAGCTGGGACTATGGCATATGCCACCATGCCTGGCTAATTTTTTTTTGTAGTTTTAGCAGAGATGAGATTTCACCACATTGGCCAGGCTGGTCTTGAACTCCTGACCTTGTGATCCACCTATCCCAAAGTGCTGGGATTACAGGCAGGAGCCACCTCACCCAGCCAACAGCTTGTTTTAAGACAAGTGTTTGTACTGGGGCCTCTCACAGCTTCTTGGTTTGTAATCAAGGCAATCTAGCACCATACCTTCTCAGAGCAAGATCCCAGAGCACTGTCAATACCGGGCCATCTCTCAGGTATTCCTGGAAAGCATTTACAGAAGGCACTCCCAAGTTCTCCCAGACCTCAGTGGCTTTCCAGGAAGCCCCACTGCCTCAGAGGCTGGGCAGAGCCTGGGGAGGACAAGGCCTTCGTTTTCTGAGTTCTCTCTTCCTTCACCTCTGAACCACCTCCTGGCACTGCTTGGCCAAAGGAAGCCAAATAAAGCAAAACGCCCTGGGCTCCCAAGGCGCTGCCAGGCGTGTAAGATCGCTGTGCTCGGGAACGGAGTGGTTGGTCGGAGCTGGCTGGACTTTCTAAACTTCCCAGGATGTTCCTAATTTCGTTGCCCTTGACTTAACAGAGCATCCTGTCCACCATGAAGAAATGGTCCCTGAGCAGCTGAGCTGGGGAAGACTCTGCAGGAGGCAAATGTTTGTCTCACCTCCTGCATCAGCCAGCAGCCGCCAGCCTCCTCAGGGGCTCCAATCTGTGGTCCTGTACAGAAAGGAGGGGACACGGGAAGAAGCACTCCTCGCTGCCCCTGGAAAGGACTGTTTAGTGTCCGCAAACCTTACAGACACTCATTCTAGCTTTGGCTCACATGTGGACCAGAACCCATGCTCTAAATGCCAGGATTTTACATTTCACATTTTAAAAGTCTGGTTTGGGGGCAGTGGCGATGGCTCATGCCTATAATCCCAGCACTTTGGGAGACCAAGGTGGGCTGATCACTTGAGGCCAGAAGTTTGAGACCAGCCTGGCCAACGTGGTAAAACCCCATTTATACTAAAAATATAAAAATTAGCTGGGTATGGTGACAAGTGCCTGTAATTCCAGCGACTTAGGAGGCTGAGGCACAAGAATCGCTTGAACCCGGGAGGCAGAGGTTGCAGTGAGCTGAGATGGCATCACTGCACTCCAGCCTGGGCAGCAACAACAACAAAAAAGTCTGGTTTTGCCGGACGTGGTGGCTTACACCTGTAATCCCAGCACTTTGGGAGACCGAGGCAGGTGGATCATGAGATCAGGCGTTCAAAAAACCAGCCTGGCCAACATCCTGAAAGGTCGTCTCTACTAAAATACAAAAAAAAGTATCTGGGCACAGTGGTGCACGCCTATAATCCCAGCTACTCAGGAAGCTGAGGCAGGAAAATTGCTTGAACCAGGGAGGCGGAGGTTGCAGAGGGCCGAGATCATGCCACTGTACTCCAGCCTGGGCAACAGAGACTTCATCTCAAAAAAAAAAAAAGAAGTCTGGTTCTGGCAGCCCACAGACCATCTAAAGGAAACATCTTATCTCAAGACATTCTAGGTAAACTGCCTACCATGAAATTTCCACGAAAGAAGGTCTCACAAACCCTGCAGCACCTTCCGTGAAGTTACGGAAAGTCCTTCCTAAGAAACTTATTTTCCACTTACATGAACCGACAGAGTAAATGATTTTACAAAGAGAAGCAGTGAGAGGGCTTTCAAACCAACCAGCATCGTGGGTGGAAAAAAATTTAAAGCAAAAAAGCCTGCAAGTGAGTCAGGAGTTGGTGAAGGGGGAAAGCTATTTCGTGCTTTTCCTTATTTGAAATTTAAGTTCGGCTTGTTCTCCACATCTCTGAGACACCAGAAAGGTAACACCTGAAGCCACAATGAGCCGACCCCAACAGACGGCATGTGGGCTGCCTGGCCATCCTGGGAAGGGCCCCCTCGTGGAGGTCTCTTGGCTGCTCACACCTGTAATCCCAGCACTTTGGGAGGCCAAGGCGGGCGGATCACCTGAGGTCAGGAATTCGAGACCACGCTGGGCAACATGGTGAAATCCGTCTCTACTAAAAGTACAGATGTAGTGGCGTGCACCTGTAGTCCCAGCTATTCAGGAGGCCAAGGCAGGAGAATCACTTGAATCCAGGAAGCAGAGGTTTCGTGAGCCAAGATCATGCTACTGCACTCCAGCCTGGGCGACAGAGTGGCTCCAAAAAAAAAGGTCGGGGGGTGCTTGCCTGTCATGAGGGTAACTGAGGGAGCATGCAGGAATCAGGGGCTTACCTGAGTAGGTCCAATCGGACCCATGCTGCGCCTGGCCACCCAGCAGGAACAGGGACAGCAGAGGCACCAGGGCCCTCATGGTGCTGCACATCTGGAGTGAAGACTGATTCTGGCAAAGTTCTTCTTTTAAAGGCTCAGAAGCTGTAAATAACAATTTACCACATCCAGCTGGCTGATCCACCCTTTGCTGCACCCACTAAAACAATAACACCCTCCCCACAACAGCCCTTCTGGCTCCGAGCATTGGGCCAGGTGGCCCCAGCACCTGCCTCATCTCCTCCCACGTCAATTTCATATCCAATCAGTCCATGGGTTTGGTCATTCAGTGTCTTAGGAGAGTCACCTGAAGGGCCACACAGTGCAGCCATTGTGGATGGGTGACCACGGAAATGCGAAAAGGCCCGAGGCAGGAAGAAGCAGGGCGCGGGACTTCCCTGGACAGTCTTCTGTGCCCTTTCTCCTGACGTAAGTGATCTGGAAACTGCTGACGGGATCACCACTGCCTGCAAGCCCTGCAGGAACCCTCTTGGTATTTCCTGCCTGTGTCAGTCATGGACACATGGCAGGCACCTGGCCTCCACATTCGGCCATTTCCTGGTCCTCTCCTGAAACCAGCAGTTGATCCCGGGTCCCAGCTCTTGAACCACGTGAACCACGCGCCTTGAGGCCACGTGAGCCGGTGTGGGCGTCTGCCTTTCTGCATGGATTTGTTCTGACAGCTGCAGGGCACTTGGGCACACCTAAACCAATCAACCATTCGCCCTCACAGGATCCATGGATTACTTAATCCTGTGCATCCACTTGGCTAGACAGTCCCTGAAATTCGCTGAAGGAGAAACTTTGGAGTTTATGCCTGCTGACAGCCCAGCATTTCCTTCATCGAGGTCCAAGATAGAGGGCAGGCGGGCTGCCGGACACAAAGGGCCACCCCCGCCCTGTGGAGGGGAGCTGAACCCCCTCCTGGCCCAGCTTAACTCATTGTCCACTTGTCCCTGGAACGGCAAATGGCAGCAGGCCTTCACAACAAGGATGTTAACTGCGAACCTAGGCTCTCCTGAATATTTTAAAGGCGCCCCCCTGGCGTTTGATAGAGAACATCAGCTGCTGCAAAGAACTTGCTGGAAACTTCCATCTCTAAAGCTCAAGAGCTGCAAGAATCTCAGAGAGCAAAGCATGGTCAAGGGCAAGGATTCTGAAACCAGACAGGGTCTGCCACCTGCTAGTTGCGTGACCTTGGCCAAGTGCCTCAGCGCTCTCTGCCTCAGCTTTCCTTTTTCTTTTCGATTTTCTTTCTTTCTCTTTTTCTTTTTCCTTTCTCTCCTCTCCTCTCCTTTCTCTTTCTTTTCTTCCTTTTCCTTTTTCTTCTTTTCTGTCTCTCTTTCTTTCTTCTCACTTCTCCTGGACTCAAGTAATTCTCCTTCCTCAGCCTCCCAAGTAGCCGGGACCACAGTTGCAGGCCACGACACCCCGCTAATTTTCTTATTTTTTGTAGATACGGGTTTCTCACCATGTTGCCCAGGCTGGCCTCAAACTCCTGGACTCGAGCAATTCTCCCGCCTCATGCTCCCAAAGTGCTGGGATGACAGACAGGAGCCATCACACCTGGTCGCCTCCTTTCTTTAAAAGGGTTTAGTGGTAGCAGGGATTTGGCAGTAAATGTCCCTGCAGTACTTGGTGCAGTGCCTGGTGTGTAGAAAATGGCATTCGTTTTTATTCAGACCCCTCCTTTTACAGAAAAAGGAAGTGACTTACCATTGCCACCCAGCTGGTTAGTGAGAGAAATGGAGGAAAAATGACTCAATCTCCAGCTTACGGAGACAGATTTCTTTGCAGAAATGAGAAGCCCACTCTCCTGTCCTTGCTAAATCAGTGACGGCCACCTGCTGACCCCCAGCCCTTCAGAAAGGCCCACCTTGTAAATCACAAGACCCCACCTCAGCTGAGAAGAGCAAAACTCTTTACAAACCCGGGGAGGACCCTGGACATCAAACTGGCAAGAAAACACGGACTCTGCCATCTGACGTTTTTCTTGGGAATCTGAATTGGGAGACCCAGAAAGGATCAGGGAACTGCAGGTGGGCAGAGACCGAAGTGTCAGGATGTCATGGAAGCCTGGGAGGCCCGGATGAGCCCACGTTGGGGGAGCTGGAGTGGGAAGGAGCTCCGAAAAAGCCTGGGCCATGGGGGAGGGGGAGACTACCCAGAGAGGGAGGAAGGGCCCTGGGGAGTCAGAGAGAGGGGTGCTCGGGGGAGAACCCGGTGAATGGAGAGGGCTCACCACTCCTGGCAGCCCCCAGCCCATGGGTCTCTGCTTGCACTGAGCATCTGGGGCTTCCCAGGAGAGCCCTGGGACTTCTCTTGCCTCACACAGTCCCTTAAAACACAGTGCACGGCTGGGAGCGGTGGCTCACACCTGTAATCCCAGCACTTTGGGAGACCGAGATGGGAGGATCACAAGGTCAGGAGATTAAGACCATCCTGGCTAATACGGTGAAACCACATCTCTCCTAAAAATACAAAAAAAAATTAGCTGGGCATAGTGGCATGCTCCTGTAGTCCCAGCGACTCCAGAGGCTGAAGCATGAGAATTGCTTGAACCCGTGAGGCAGAGGTAGCAGTGAGCAGAGATCATGCCACTGCACTCCAGCCTGGATGACAAGAGCGAGACTCCGTTTAAAACAAAAAAAAAAAAAACACAGTGCACATACTGTGTATGTGAGGTTGTGATGCCAGCAGCCCCACCGCAGAGCCCCATGCGGCATATCCGCCCATCCCATCTGAAGCTTTGCCCTGGTTTCTCCTTTCACTCAGGCAAGAGCCTGGGCTGGTTAGCAGCCTGTTGACCTAGCTGGTGTTGAGAATCGGTGTGAAAGTGCGTAATTAGGGCAATAGGGGGTCAGATCAGATGGTGGGCTCTTGGAGTAGCAAGGCCATCTGCCAACGAGGGGACATTACTAGAGAAAGGGTCCCCTCCCTCTACTGTGCGGCACCCTGCCAAGGACATACTGGACCCAGAATCAGGTATAGTCAGAAGCCTAAATTCTGACTCATTGTCTTCTTCAACCCTGAAATTTTCCATCACCTTTGAGCGTGAGTCTGCTTCTTGGATTTGGGAGGCACGCTGTTTGCTTGGGTTTGCTTTTGTTATTGTTGCTGTTGGGTTTTTGTTGTTTTTTGGTTTTCCTTTTGAGGCAGGGTCTCACTCTGCTGCCCAGGCTGGAGGCCAGTGGTGTAATCATGGCTCACTGCAGCCTCCCAGGGCTCAGGTGATCCTCACACCTCAGCGATCCTGTGCTCCCCGTCCCATACCCCTCCCCCCACCCAAGTGGCTGGGACTACAGGTGCATGCTCTATGTCCGGTCTGTGTTTGTTGCTGTTATTTTTAGTATGTCTCTCTACGCTCTGAGCTTCCTTCTGCCTTCATCCAGCCACATCCTCAGCTGATCAAGGTTGTGTTTTTAATTCTAAACTCCTATTTTTCTAGGACCTCTGGTTGGAGTGGCTGGCTGAGACGCGCTGACAAGCGTATCATTATCATTACAACATAAGGTCAAAGGGAGAAAGGAGCCTTTGTTCTTCTTTGGTTCTATCACTGCTCCTTGGCAAGCCCACTGAGGCAAGGAAATAGAAGGGGGCAGAGAAGCATGGCCAGCCTGGGTGGGCAGAAAGGCACCATCAGCCCAGGTGAGCAGGGACAGGACCAGATGACTAGTGAAGGCTCCATCAGCCCAGGTGAGCACAGGACCAGCGTAAAAGAATGAGTCTGGCTACACAAGAATATGCATATTTTGGCCGGGCGCGGTGGCTCATGCCTGTAATCTCAGCACTTTGAGAGACCGAGGTAGGTGGATCATGAGGTCAGAAGTTCAAGACCAGCCTGGTTAAGATGGTGAAACCCTGTCTCTACTAAAAATACAAAAATTAGGTGCGGTGACAGGTGCCTGTAATGTCAGCTACTCATAAGGCTGAGGCGGGAGAATTGCTTGAACCCGTTGGGCGGAGGTTGCAGTGAGCTGAGATCACACCATTGCACTCCAGCCTGGGTGACAGAGTGAGACTCCATCTTAAAAATAAAAACAAAAATAAAAATAAAAATAATATGCATATTTTGGCTGTAAGTAACACAGACAGGCTATTGTTCTGTTTCCTGCAGGAGGGTGAGCTCTCTGGAATTCTGAAGAATGAGTCACTCTAAACAAGCAAGTTCTAGACGGTTACAGGCTCAATCCTATACAAGCACCAAGATGATTAAAAGCTCAAAAGTGTACCAAACCTTTGCCTCCTTTTTAAAGAGATAAAGCTGAACAAGATTAAACTTTTCTTAATGACTGAGTCCCACTAATGTGACATCAGTTACCCTCCTGCATTGTAATACATTGATGACCACTGGGCCTATGACATATACATGTAATTCTCCCTGCAAAAGCGACCCCTGACTGGGCAAGGTGGCTCATGCCTATAATCCCAGCACTTTGGGAGGCCAAGGTGGACAGATCACCTGAGGTCAGGAGTTCGAGACCAGCACTGGCTTACATGGTGAAACTCCTTCTCTACTAAAAATACAAAAATTAGCTGGGCATGGTGGTGCGTGCCTGTAATCCCAGCTACTTGGGAGGCTGAGGCAGGAGAATTGCTTGAACCAGGGTGGTGGAAGTTGCAGTGAGCTGAGATCGCGCCACTGCACTCCAGCCAGAACAACAAGAGCGAGACTGTGTCTCAAAAAAAAAAAAAAAAAAGAAAAGAGAAAAGAAATGAGCCCTAACTATAATGATTTTAGATTTCTTTCACCAGATATTGAGAGGGGAAAATTAGCTAGCTTACTTGATTACTAACTCTGCTCATAGGTAATATCCAGATTATTAACATCCATTAAGGCCAGGACATAACCAATCAGGACAGAAGCCAGACTTGGTATGGAGAAGAGTCTGGAAGCTCCCAGCTCTGCCAGGAGTTAACCCTGGATTGGCAGACTCTAGGGAGATTGGGAGGTTCTTGGGAAGGGTTGAGTGCAGGAGCAGCTGGAGTGTGTATTGATTTGTTTTTTCATTCTTAGCATTTCCTTTTTTTTTTTTTTTTTAAGATGGAGTTTCACTCTTGTTGCCCAGGCTGCACTGGCGCGATGTCAGCTCACTGCAACCTCCACTGCCCAGGTTCAATCGCTTCTCCTGCCTCAGGATTCTAAGTAGCTGGGATTATAGGCACATGCCACCACACCTGGCTAATTTTTGTATTTTTAGTGGAGACAGCGTTTCACCCTGTTGGCCAGGCTGGTCTCAAACACCTAACTTCAGGTGATCTGCCTGCCTCAGCCTCCCAAAGTGCTGGGATTACAGGCATAAGCTACTGTGCCCGGGCTATTGTCAGCATTTCTAACACAGGCTTCCAGCTGTTGCCTCTCAGGGTTTCTTCCTGTTCTTTTCTCCTGGCTTCCTCATCTGTTTGGCAGAAACCAGATGACCACACTTCTTAGAATTATCTGTATAAGAAGAATGGATAGAGCTGATCCAACAGCCCGGAGACCAGCCACTGCCTAAAATACACACACCCTGAAACGCCTTCAGCGCTTCCAAGCTAAACTCACAAATTTCCATTTCCTTTCTGACTTTTTATATCCATATAAATGGAGCATCGACACAAATAAGTCGTTGTGTGAACTAACCTACTTGCACAATATCCAGCCACAGTCAGTCCCAACTCCACGGGGGTGCCCTTGCTTTCTCCCACCAGCCTCCTTGGTGGTGAATTCCCCAGTCTTAGAGAGCATCTCCGTCCTCATGCATCCTCCTAGAATTCAGCACCTGTTGGGTAGGGGAGTCTCCCGCCAGGCATCTCTTATGTCTCTGTTCTCTTCCCCACTGGGTCCCAGTAACCCACATCCAAGAACAATCAACACAAAACCCTAGTGGAAATCCTCTTTTCTATCATTAATTTAGGTACAAGCAAAATAGGAACCAAATACATACAAATATTTACAGCTCAGCCTGCCATCAACATTCTATGCCTCCTCTCCGAGCAAACTCACCGTCCTCCTGCCACGAGAATTGGATGTTCTGTTTGTATTTCCTGCTAGCTCTACCTTCTACTTCTTGGAGGAGGCCAAAGTCTTGCTTATATCTCTTCAGTATGCTCCACCCCTAGTTTATATCTGCAAAGCAGGTTTGTACGTCTTTCAGCTCCACCCTTCCCTGGTCAATAAGCAGGTCAAACCCACCCTTCCCTGGTCAAATCGGTAATGAGTCCTCACCCGCCCCCCACGTCTAAGGGACCAATTATGCAAGCAGAGAACTGTATTGGTTTCCTGCTGCCGTATCAAACTGCCAAAGACTCTGTGCTTAAAACAACACAAATTCATTCTCTTACAGATCTAAAGGTCAGAAATTCAAAATCATTTTCACTAGGCTAAAGTCAAGATGTGGGCAGGGCTGGCTCCTTCAGAGGCTCTGAGGGGACCATTTGTTCCCTTGCGTTTTTCAGCTTCTAGTGGTCACCTGCATTCCTTGGCTCATGGCCTCTTCCTTGACTCACTCCATCCTTTGCTTCCTTTGTAGTTGCTTAGTCCCTAGTACAACTAGGTCCAAGTTCTTATTCAATGACCAAGAAGAATAAGGCACACAGACAGCAAAAAGTGTGTAGAATAGAGTAGGATTGGCCGGGCGCGGTGGCTCAAGCCTGTAATCCCAGCACTTTGAGAGGCCGAGGCGGGTGGATCACGAGGTCGAGAGATCGAGACCATCCTGGTCAACAAGGTGAAACCCCGTCTATACCAAAAATACAAAAATTAGCTGGGCATGGTGGCGCGTGCCTGTAATCCCAGCTACTCAGGAGGCTGAGGCAGGAGAATTGCCTGAGCCCAGGAGGCGGAGGTTGCGGTGAGCCGAGATCGCGCCATTGCACTCCAGCCTCGGTAACAAGAGCGAGACTCCGTCTCAAAAAAAGAAAAGAATAGGGTAGGATTTATTAAACAAAAGGGAAACTCTCAGCAAAGAGAGGGGTCCTGAAAGCAGGTGACCAGAAATGGAGCCGAGTTCTGTGTCTTTCATGTGGCAGAAGCCAGGAAGTCTTCCGTGGGTTTTGTTCAAATGGGAGGATTAAAATTCCCTCCTAAAGGTGTTGCGTCTGCACATGCCGGAATTGGTCAGAGTGACTCCATCTTGGTTATTACCCATGAATGCCTAAACAAAACTCACCAGGGGGGCTAAAACCACAATACTAATGTTATGTTAATGACATTAGAATGAACTGGGTCAAGGAAAGGACATTTAGGTTGATTTATTGCACCTGTGCCTAAGTTGGGACAGTCACTTTTGAGCAACATCCTGGCACAAGGGGAAATGCTTAACCGCATTTCTTCCCCTTAGCTGTAAAGGCAGTGTAGATGCTGTTCTGCGGTTGTTCCTTTGAACATTGTCCCTCTCTGTCCTTCTCCAAAGACCCTCCTTCTCTATCTGCCTAATCAGTCTCTAACTGCCCCCCACCCCACCCCACTTCCTCAGTTTGATCTTTTTGACCTCCCTCATATTATGGTGATCACAATTAAGGTCTTCCCAGATAATCCAAGATGATCTTATCTCCAGATCCTTAATCACATCTGCAAGTCCCCTTTGCCCTGTAGTGTTACACTCATAGTTCCAGGGGATTAGGATGTGGACATTTTGTGGGGGGCGTTATTCAGCCTACCACAAAGATACAGAAAATTACCAAGCTAAATTAAACCATGAGTTGCTGAAAATTGGATTTAGACTTCAAAAAACAGAGTAATAACTCAGCAGTATCATGAAATATACCAGGAATGAAGAGGGTCATAGAGGAACCAAATGTACAAGAGCGAGGCTGTCCAGAGAATGCACAATTGCTAGGTACTTTTTCTGAGCTCTTAATGGTCACAGTGATATGATCAGAGTAGCTGACCAGACTGGAAAAGTCCTGGTAACCTGCAGAACAATGAAGAGAGAAGAGGAGTCAAAGACCCAGTGTGAGCTGGGCTCCATGGCTCATGACTGTAATCCTGGCACTTTGGGAGGCTGAGGCGGGTGGATCACTTGAGCTCAGGAGTTTAAGACCAGCCTGGGCAACATGGTCAAAACCCATCTCTACAAACAATACAAAAATTATCCAGGTGTGGTGGTTCGCACCTGTAGACCTGGCTACTTGGGGGGCTGAGGTGGGAGGATCGCTTGAACCCAGAAGGCAGAGGTTGCAGTGAGCTGAGATCACATCACTGTGCTCCAGCCTGGGCACCAGAGTGAGACCCTGTCTCAAAAAAAAAAAAAATATATATATATATATATCTCCAATGTGGTCAGCCTGTGAGTAGCTCGTGGGACCAACACTCCTTGAATGTGGCCTCATTCACTCAAGATACAAGAGGTAACTTTTGGCTGAATCACAGTTTTGCAAGCAGAGGGAAGCTCCGCATCAGAAATACAGTCCTGTGGCCCGGCGCGGCAGCTCAGGCTTATAATCCCAGCATTTCGGGAGGCCAAGGCAAGCAGATCACCTGAGGTCAGGAGTCTAAAAATCCAAAAATTGCCAGGCACATGCCTGTAATCCCAGCTACTTGAGAGGCTGAGGCAGTAGAATCGCTGGAACCCGGGAGGCATGGGTTGCGTGAGCCAAGATAGCGCCAATGCTCTCCAACCTGGGCAACAGAGTGAGACTCCGTCTCAGAAAAAAAGAAAAGAAATATTCAATTTTTTTGGCCGGGCGTGGTGGCTCACGCCTATAATCCCAGCACTTTGGGAGGCCGAGGTGGGTAGATCATGAGGTCAAGAGATCGAGACCATCCTGGTCAACATGGTGAAACCCCGTCTCTACTAAAAATACAAAAAATTAGCTGGGCATGGTGACGCGTGCCTGTAATCCCAGCTACTCAGGAGGCTGAGGCAGGAGAATTGCCTGAACCCAGGAGGCGGAGGTTGCGGTGAGCTGAGATCGCGCCATTGCACTCCAGCCTGGGTAACAAGAGTGAAACTCGGTCTCAAAAAAAAAAAAGAAAGAAAGAAAGAAATATTCAGTTTTTTACTTAGTCCCCACACAAACCTCTATCGTATTTTTTTCTTTTCATTTCTTTTCTTTTATGAGACGGAGCCTTGCACTGTTGCCAGGGCTAGAGTTCAAGCCATTCTTCTGCCTCAGCCTCCTGAGTAACTAAGATTACAGGCACTTGCCACCACGCCTGGCTAATTTTTTGTAATTTTAATAGAGACGGGGTTTCACTATGTTGAGGAGGCTGGTCTCAAAATCCTGACCTCATGATCTGCCCCAAAGGGCTGGGATTACAGGCATGAGCCACCACGCCCCAGCCCCATATTTCTTTTTTCTTAGAGACAGAGTCTTACTCTGTCACTCAGGCTGGAGTGCAATGGCATGATCAAAGCTCACTACATCCTCAAAATCTCAAGCTCAGGTGATCCTCCTGCCTCAACCTCCCAAATAGCTTGGACTACAGGTATACTCCACTACCCTCAACTAATTTTTAAATTTTTTTTAGAAATGAGGTCTCACTATGCTGCCCAGTCTGGTTCCCAACTCCTGGGCTCAAGTGATGGCTGCCTTGACCTCCCAAAGTGCTGGAATTATAGGCATGAGCCACTGCACCCAGCAAACTTTCAGCATATTGATCTAAAAATAAGAAAGATGTAACAGAGAGAAAGAGACTCTGTCTCAAAAAAAAATCAGTATACAAAATACAATTGTATTTCTATAAAATAGCAACAATTAGAAAACTTAATGTAAATTTTTTTAATTTTAAAAATTATACCACTACAAGAATGCTGCACAGTCTTTGTAACTTTTCTGAAAATCTAAAACTATACTAAAATTAAGTCTCTCCTTAAAAAATTATACCATTTTATAATGGCATCAGAAAACATCAGACACCCATGAATAACTCAAATAAAAGATTATTATTACCTTAGACAGGGTCTCACTCTGCCACCCAGACTGGAGTGCAGTGGCATGATCTTGGCTCACTACAGCCTCTACTTCCTGGGCTCAAGCAATCCTCCTGCCTCAACCTCCTGAGAAGCTGGGATTATAGGCATGCGTCACCACATCCAACTAATTTTTTTGCATTTTTGTACAGATGGGTTTTTGCCATGTTTCCCAGACTGGTCTGGAACTCCTGAGCTCAACTCACCTGCCTGCCTCAGCCTCCCAAAGTGTGAAGTTACAGGTGTGAGCCACCACACCTGGCCAAAGACTATTGAGAGAAATTCAATACTTGAATAAATGAGGGAATTGGCAATAATTTTTTTCTTCAGTCTCTGAGTAGCACAGAGAAATTCTTTAGTAAAATAACTTCTTTCTTTTTTTTTTTTTTAAGAAATTATTTAACAGGGCTGGGTACAGTGGCTCATGCCTGGAATCCCAGAGCTTTAGGATGCCAAGGCGAGCAGGTCACCTGAGGTCAGGAGTTCAAGACCAGGCTGGCCAACTGGCAAAACCCCATCTCTAATAAAAAATACAAAAATTAGCCGGATGTGGTGGTGCACGCCTATAATCTCAGGTACTTAGGAGGCTGAGGCAGGAGAATTGCTTGAACCCAGGAGGCAGAGGTTGCAGTGAGCCAAGATTGTGCCACTACACTACAGCACTCCAGCCTGGGCAACAGAGTGAGATTCCGTCTCAAAAAGATAAAAGAATTTCTTAAACAGAATATTTTAAAAAGAGATTACCTGAGCAACACAAAAATTAAAATCTCAAGGGGGCATGGTAGCTCTCACCTGTTCTCAGCACTTTGGAAGGCCAAGGCAGATTTTGAGGCCAGGAGTTCAAGATCAGCCTGAACAACATAGCAAGACCCCATCTATACCCCGCAAAAAAGAAAAACTAAAAACTTTAGTTCATCAAAACATATCAAACCAAGTCAAGCCCCCTAGTAGGAGAAGGTATTTTCGGTACATATAACCAACAAATGACCCATATCCAGAATATATAAAGAACATTTACAAATAAGTGAGAAAAAAAATCCAGCTTATAGTCAAATAGGCCAAGACTCACGGTACCTTTCAAAAGAGGATTTCCAGATGGCCAATTAACATCTGAAGAGGTTCAACCTCT